AAACTAAATGTAAGGTGATAGATGTCGTTATTTAAGGCATACATAAATAAAAAGGCAAATATAACAAACCACTCAATCTGAAATTTCAGGAATTTAAATTAATTACAAGCTAATGAGAGGTTCACAGCCCAGTCATTAAGGCTTTTGCCCATGTCAGAATACTGAGGCAGCCTCAGAGACTCCCAGGTAGCTCAGCAGGTGAATGTTCATGATCGTTATCATTACAGCATCCATCAGCTCCAGCCAGGGTCAGGTCCTCACCCTACTCAGCACAATACAACAAAATGAAGTGGCAGCCTATTGTAGAGCATATAATAAAATGATGGACCTAAAACCATTTCAAATGGACAAAATTGGCTGATTTTGATGGAATTAGGATTCTACAGTGGATACAGTAATTTTTTACAGCGTGCTTTAGGGGGTGTCATTTTAAAAAAGCTGCCTAAAAATATACATACAATCTTTTATCAACACAGTTGTGCAAATTGTCAATATGCACACCCAGCAATTTAGCCAACACAGACCATAATGAATAGTTTCTCGTCTTCTCAAAGACAATGAACCTACTTTCCTTCTCCTAATTTAATTGTATTACATTCCCCTGTGTGCTTTGTATTTTTACAGCAGTATGAATGCTGTAAGCTGGAGATACCACCACAGATAATCACAATTTTTACATGATTCCCATTATATTTGGTGGTTGTTTTTTTTGTTTGTTTGTTTGTTTTCTTGAAGATACTACTTAACGAAAATTAAAACTACAATTCTGCTTTATAAGATTCTGAGGAAACCCTTGAAAATGCAAAGCTTAAGGTCTCAGGAATACAGGAGGCAAAGAGAAAAAGTCCTCCAGAAAAGTTTTTTCTTTTCTTTTCTTTTTTTTTTTTTTTTAAATCTCAGGATACTGCATACCTAATTGACAATTTTGAAAGCTTAGATTTAACAATTCTTCTTGTGATTCTGAAATGAGTAGTTGTCACATGTGTTTTTCACAGTGATGGACATGGCTGGTTTTACATGTCACCCACCATCCTAGGACCACCCTTTCTGTCCCCTCTTTGAGCAGCCTGGCCCTGATGCTGTAATTACATCTGCAGGGGGTGGCCACAGCACTCAGGTAGGCACAGGGGCATGATACATCTCTTCTTCTGTCAGGGTCTTTCATCCAGGCAACAACAAGGGAAAAACATGATTTTAGAAGCAAAATAATTGTAAACCCGCAAAATCTGGCAGAAAAACTCAAAGGAGGCGTTGTACCAGAAACTTATTTTCTATAAACTAAATATAAAATTGATTCCATCAACTTGAAATTCTCACTTTCTGTTAAATTTCATAAAATTATTATAAGCTAGGAGTTGGGAAAGTTCCACAATTTACCATCAACTACAGCAAGCTGCTTCTGAAAATAAATCCCCGACTACACTGTGTAGGGGATAACAGAAGTAAGAAGCTGAGATGTGTTCATGAATCATGGCTTGAGTTTTTAAAAAATCAGTGATTAGCGGAACACAGTGACCCAACAACTATTTTTAGGGCTGTGTATTCAAAAAGTAATTTACGTGTAGATACTATTAGTTGCACATTTAATTTCAAACCACAATTTTGTGAAGTTTTAATTACTAAATATTAAGGCACATTTTAGCATATGGTTTATGATTAGCACTTGTAATTCAAGCTATAAACAATGCAACTAATTACATTTATTGGTGGAACTTTACTTCCCACACACGTTCAATCACTTTCAATTATTCCCCTAGTAATCTATGACCCAGCAAGGTGTATAAATTGTGTGCCTACATTGCAGTAACTACGTAACAAGTTTCTGTGCATTCAAGCATGGTATTACAGGCTCACCCTGTTTTTCTTAACATCTCGCAATCACAGACATGCAAAAATGTAGATTAAAAAGCTGCAAAGACCAATAAAAATCTTAGATGCTGTGGCATGAAAACTGGTTTGTTTAACAAAGGACTTCCAAGCCACAGCCTGATTTTTACAGCAAGATGAAATTTTAGAATGAAGACCAGGTCTGGTCACCAAAGGCTTGTAAACAAAAATGCCCCTCCTTTTATACCGATTTCATGTGTGATGGTTGTATTTGCTCTCTTTTCACTTTGAGTTTCCCAACATCTTGCCTGCGCACTTCCCAGTGCTGGTCTTCAGAACCCAGCAGAGCTGCTGCTCCTGCACCAGCTCCTGTAGCAGCTGCACACAAAGGGGCACCTGGATGTGTGTCCACTTCCCTGTGCTGCTCCAGGAGAGCAGTTAACTCTTCCCAGATGATGGTATCAACAACCACGAATGAGGCTTTGCTTAATATCAGGTTTCTTTGGGTTTCCTTGATTCATGCCAGAGGATCAGGTTTCCACCAAGAGCCTTGCACCATGACAAAGTGATGAGCTGGGGATCTCTGTGACCAAATGACTGCAAACCATGGGGACAGACCTCACAGCTCTGAACATGCAGAGTGAATTTAAAAGATATTCATTGAAAACACAAATGTTTTTGGACTTTTTTTTGCTTGTTTTCTTCTTCCCTGTGGGCACAATAAAATGCAGAAGGCCCAGGCAGAAACCTTCACTCCAAATGAAAGCCAGATGCTTCACAGTGCTCTCCTGCAGGAGGCACAGATGCAGAAGGAGCAGCTGTGCAACAGGTCTCCATAACTACTATAACCTAACATTTTATGAAGAAATTGACCCAAAATTCTTGCACAGCTAGTGTAGAGGTGGTACAGTTGCTATATGGTGTAGCTGCTCTATCACCCTCATCATCTCCCCCACACAAAGTAGGAAAGAAAGTGAAGCCATCAAATGTATTTGTCATAAGACAGTAATTGCCCATCAGCTGCTCCACTTTTTTTTTGAGCTCTTTGCAATTACTAAGTGCCATATGGATATAAAGTTAAAGAGAAAGGAGATCATAACAAAATAAAATCTTACAAATTAATAATGTGATAAAATAGTTATAGGGTTTATTTCAATAATATCTGCTTCACTGTGTGTAATATCTAATTAAGCTGCTTTCAGTGTAGCTCAGATATCAAACCACCTCCACCAAAACCAGGTGTTAATACCCTTTGATTTTCTAAAAAACAATTGAGCTACATTAAATACACTTCTCAGGTCTAGTTTTGCATGACAGATATGTAATGTGCCAATGGTTATATATTATATTCTTCCTCTCAGGCATGCATCTCCTGCAGAGACAGCAGACTACAGAAGCTGACCCTCACTGAGACCATCTTGTCTCTCTGACAAAGATCCTTTTTAACTTCTTACTTACTGGTTGCGTCCTGCGATGGATAAAAACTTTAGCTCAGCTTGTGATAATTTCACAGGCCCTGAGCACCCTGACCCTGGAAGCCCCAAGGTCAGAAGTCAAGTCTTGTTCTGAAACATCTGTGTGCTTTGTATTAAACTAGAACAAAAGTGAAAAAATATCCACCAGTGTGACAAGAGAAACAGGCAAAATGGGAATGACACGTTGGTCATCTGTTACCCATGCCACCTCAAGCCATTGATGGAAATGTGATGGAAAAACTCTCCAAGCCTCCTTCAGATAAAGCACTTTGTTTCGGAAACACTGAGAAAGGCCTCCAGTTGATTTTTAGTCCTGCCCTGTGCTAAGCATAAGTATCTGTAGGTGTCTGGCAATCCAAACAGTGTGGCTTTACAAAACGTACAGAAATTCTGCCAACGCTTTACTTTGGATAGACAAGGAACAGCAGAATAACCTGGGCTGGAAAATGGGGCAGCTGAAAACCACCAGGCAGTAAAGCGAAGACAGAAGAGATGCTCCCTTCCCCTCCTTGCATTTGAGGAGCAACAGGCACACGACCTGTCTCTTGTTCAAAGTTGTGGCAATAGAAGGAATTATTCACCTTCACTAACTTGATATCTAAAAATTTAGTTTTGAGACTATTCACTGACTTGGTAATAAAAACACCTGTAGAAAATGATCAGCCCAACTTTTCTCAAGTCAAAAATGTGTGCACGTCATACATATTTTTAAAAGACTCTTCAGGAAGGAGAGGGAAAATCAAAATGGCCTTAATTTCTAGAAATGAAAAAGGTTAAGAAAAATTCCAAGTTCTTAAAATAATGTAAGTGGTTCTGCTCTGGATTCTTCTTGTTACTTGGAGCAGCACAAGATTAAAATCAAAACACTTGTTCATTCATCTGATGTTCAGGCAGGAACCACTTTTACTAACTTCCAGTTAAGACTAAAGTGCTACAGACAAAAGTAGTACATACATGTCTGCTGATTCCTGTGTCTACGAAACCGATCTGCAATTTACATTTCCACAATAAATGAGGCTATTTTATTTTTAGTTTATTTATCTTATGTCCTGATGACATTTGCATTTCACAGTTAAGGGGGAAGACTATAGCTACACTCCTCTAGTGGCACAGAGGAGTTCAATATAGTGGTTCCAAGAGTGGTATGCAAGTCCAATGGGCAACCTCTTCATATACCAGATGGGGTGAACAAATTTGCCTTCTAAAGAAAAAGCTGAGAGATTGAAAAAAATGGATCTTTGGCACTCCCAGAATCAGGGGTAGGGCAGCTTTACACTAAGCAGAGTCCCTCCCATCTTACATCACTGCAGGGCTTATCCAGAGCCTAACAAATGGCAAAAAAAAAAAAAAAGGTCTTCCACAGAATCATAGAATTATAGCAACTTCTGCAGACCTTTCTGGAGAAAAACTGGGTAAAACCCCCAAACTTCTCCTCATGTTCATTTCCAAGCTACCGCCAAGAAGGTGCATTTTTTAATGGTGACTTCAATTTAATACTCCTTATTTGTTTATTTATCTACCTGGAAACCAGAGAAAAATGTAGTGACCTTCCAGTTGCAAAGAAAACCTCCCAGATCTGTATCTGACCACTGGTTCAAAGTTGTTCCCAAACTGCTGCTCTCAAGAAGGTGTTCACAAGGAATTCAGAAAATCTGTGAAAGGCTTCAGGAAAGAAGGCAAGGGAGAAGTCACACTTACCAACTCTACAAAGGCAAGTCCACCATAACTGTGAGCAACAAAAAACACGTTCTCTGCAGCTGACTGGGAAATAAAATGGTCCCAAACATAAATTGCATGTTCTTCAGGAGATCCATTATCCTGCAGAAAGAAATTATGTTTGCGACAATTACCTTTTAAAAACTGGTAATTCTGTCTAAAAGCAACATGTTCCTGTATGTTAAAATGTGTTGTTAAAACAAACCTCAAATGAATATACTCTAGTGTCAAAAAAAGAGAACAGATTCATTTGTCTAAATAAAAGAAATTTAAGATTGCAATTGAAAGGCAATAAAAATGTTGCTTCACTGTGACTTATTTTAATAAATACAACAAAAATTATGCATCTGCAAAATTTTGTCTAAATACCATGATAGCAATTCAGCTAAACAGAGGCATTCAAAGAAATTATGAGCCACTGCTCTGATTTTCATTCTTTTGACAACTCTTTGTCAAATGTTTGCTCACTGATGGTTTGTTTAAAGTATTTAAGCCTCAGTCTGATAAAACAAATAAAAACAAGTAGGAACAATGTAAATATAATTGCAAGTCTCTGCAATTTTTTCATATTATGGGCCAACGGAACTCTGCCAAAGATTAAAATTATGGCATTTGCAACTCCTTTTTTAAATGGTACTTTTTGCAACTGCAGACTATGAGATACAGTGCAGATAAAACATCCCTTGACTGCTTACACGTTGGTCATTACTTTGGAGTCTGTGGCAGCTAAGGGCATGATTTGTTTTATTACTGAACCAGAACTTGTGCATGCCAGTCAATGGAAGGCATTGGGATGATTTACACTGATTTTAGTGCACTCTCCTCAAACATCAGACTCCACCTCTACCTTAGAGGCTCTCAGAAAGCCTTGTAGCCATCTATATTATACTTATTTCTCAGGTTGCCCATGTCATAAGTACAAACCTGTCTAGTCTCAGGTGGCAAGAGCAGGATGCTCTGCCAGCTCCCCTGCCCCATCAGGATTTCACACCTCTAGTACAATACTGCAGGCTCTTTCCAGGCTCTTCTGTGCCAGAAAGAGCTGTCAAGGTCATGACATTTCCCCAAATCTGCACCCCCTTCCCCTTTGCTCTGCTGCAACAACTTCATAGCCCTAGGTAACTCAGGTGCAGACAACAAAAACCTCAGTTCCTTGGGGAAAATAAAGCACAAACCAGCAAAAGCCACTGGCAACCAGAAAGTGCTAATTACAGTGTGTGAATTACTGTAACTTTGTCAAGAATATTGAAGTGATTTACGTCTTACTCCTTCTGAAAGAAGGTTTTGGGAATTTTAAACTCTTAAGAGTGTCTAAAATCAATGTGAAGACAGACAACTAAAGTGGAGGATTTAGGCTTTTACTTCTGTTCTACTTCGGTTTCCTAAATAAGAGTGAGATGGCTACAAATCTTTATGGATCTGGACCCAAAGCTTTTAAAACAATTACCTGCTTTTAAATTGTTTTTTTTTTTCTCTAACATAGCAGCGATTAAAACATATTTATCTAATTTGCCAAAAAGCATTGAAGGTATTCTTTATCTTGGACAGATTCTGCACTTGATTGACTATGACAGAACATAGTTTTAACTAATCATGTATCAACTGTTGTAAACCACCTCAGCATGAGAAAGAGCTTATATTCTTTCAAGCCTGTTTTGAAATTTGATTGCAGAGATAGGGAAAGGAGGCAAAGACTCCTCCCTTCATGAAGAGAGAAGGATGTTTTTCTGAAGAAATTTCATAAAGAAAATGTGATTGACAGACCAGTTATTAAGATAAAGCTGAAGGACAACTTCAACTGGAGTTTTCCTATGGAAAAGGAATGTACTCATACTATATCTATGGAAAAGGCCCATTAAAGCACTGGGGAGTTTTGAAATGTCTAGTTTATCTAAAATATTTATCTTAGTAAAATATGCAAGAGTTTTTTTTTTAAATAATAATGTTGCTATTAATTCTCTTAACATCGATTTTGTACAGGTACACAGCCCTGCTTTAAGACTCTTACAAAAAGAAGAGGTCGTTTCTGGTTAATATTGCATTTTCAGGTATTTTGTATTTATTATTCTTCACACTGCTGGGAAAAGCACATGATTTTAGAATTTCCACAAGACTTAAGACAGCAGCAAGAAGCTTCTGAAGGATTCAAATACTTGGCCAGGGAAACCTTCCACCAATTAAAGCATAACCAGTGGTCCAGTAAACCAAATCATTAACTGCACAGCTTCACAGTCTGGTACAAAGACTCAACAGGATTTTATAAAAGCAGAAAGAAATGAGCTAGAACGAGTTAGATATAGACTGTAACCACAGCTTCCTTTGTAACTAGTGGAAAAAAAAAGCCATAAAATGTCAGGATAAACTGCTCTGTTGCACATACTTTGCTAAACCCTAAACAGGGTAAGAACAGCATGTATGTGAGAGAAGGAGTTTGGAGGAGTCATGTGTGCTTGGAAGAAAAGCTCTCTCCTCAGAGCATCTGCTTATTTTTTCCCCTCATAATAAACCTGTATTTTAAACACCCTGGACAGAGAATGAATGGGTGCTGTGTCCATACAAGAAATATCAGGCTGTGGGAGTCCTTCTTAGGACTCTGGGTCCATGATGACCCTGGGATTAACCTCTTCTGGCTGGCCTGGGTCAGATTATGAGGCTGGATGCTGCAGTTTTGGTAGGAAAGGTGACAATTTTAGGCAGCTGTTGCTTTCCTTCTTATCATTGCAGCTAAATGCAATGCACTTACTATTTTAAAATAGTAAGTCTCTTAGTTTGTCCCTTAATTACACATAAAAAATGCCTTGCTTTTAAAACCAAAATAGCAGTTGCTCAAAAAATGTTAAATATATAGTTAGTACAGAGCTGTTCATTTCAGTATCAAAACTTTACTCAAAGAGTTTCATTGTACAGTCTATGAAAAATCTATTGCAATGATTAATAAATTCATGTTTCTCATATAGTTGAAGACATTTAATATCCCAGGGCCAGAACGTTTCCTTCAGCTGCTTGAAGCAACAGCTTCTGGTAGGGAAGAGGCTCTATGATCTGCTTGGACTTGAAGTCAGGTCCTGGCATGGGTTAGGGATGTCCTGCTGGGCTGGAGCACAGGGGGACCTCACACCAAGAAGAGCAAGGGAGCTGGGGAAGGGTCTGGAGCACAAATCTGAGCAGGAGCAGCTGAGGGAGCTGGGGGTGTTGATCCTGGAGCAAAGGAGGCTGAGGGGAGACCTGCTGGCTCTGCAGCTGCTGAGAGGAGGTTGGAGCCAGGGGGGTCGGGCTCTGCTCCCCAGGAACAAGGGATGGGACAGGAGGGAACGGCCTCAAGTTGTGCCAGGGGAGGTTGATGTTGGATCTGGGGAACAATTCCTGCCTGGCAAGGGTTGTCAGGGCCTGGCCCAGGCTGCCCAGGGCAGGGAGGGAGTCCCCATCCCTGGAGGGGTTTCCAAGCCCTGGAGATGGTGCTGAGGGACATGGGGCAGAGGATGCCTTGGTACGGCTGGGGGAATGGGTGGACTTGATGATCTTAAAGCTCTTTTCCAACCAAAATGATTAGATGATTCTAAGAACAGCAGCCCATGACTTTGTTGTCTGGGGATCTCTGCAGTGCTAACAGAAACACACTTGCATAAAACACTGCTCCTCGCCTTGATTCAAAAAGAGGTTTTGCTTTGGGAAAACTGACTTGCAGATTTAAAATCCTCTCTGCAATAGCTCTAAGTGCCTGAAAACTCAAAACGACTGTGGGAAAATTCTCTGGCCATCCATTGTGTGACAAAGCAGAGGAAGAGAACACAGATTTTGGTCTGCCATTTTCCCCAGGATTGCCAGTGATGAGAGTTGAAAGGAGTATAACATTTTAATGGCTGGAGCCATTAGGAATTTGCAGATAAGCAGGGTGCACACAGTGAATACGGTGTTGCATTCTGTTGCATTCAAAAAAAAGGTTGGATTTACTAATGTAATATCACAGTCATTAATTGTTAAATACCAAGCTGAAGTGATGCAGCAGCCGAAGCCTTATCAACTATGCCAGATTCTAACACCTAGACATTGCAAGGTCTGCACTTATGATGGACTACCTGAGTTGATAACACATGGAATTATCTAAACAACATTTGCATATTTGTGTAATTATTTCCTAAGGTTAATTAGCTCCTGCAAAGCAGCTTGCCCTTTGAGACTGCTTACTGTGACAGGTTCACATATTTCCTGTTTCAATGCCAAATTTTACTTTTTTTTGTGTGTGTGTGGCTTTTGGGTTTTTCTGAGAGTAGCCTGTCACTGGGAAGTTAAAGATGGGGCAAGAGCTGGAGGCCTTAAACTACTACAGACTTCACTAGGACACAGCAGCTCAAGATCCCACCTTAAACTTCTGATTTATCAGAACTCAAAGAAATCAAATCAAGAAAACCAAATTAAGTTTCAAGCTTCAGTGACAGCTCTCGCCTTTTACTTTATTTTTTGTTGGTTTTGCCTTTTTTTTTTTTTAATTGAGGAGTTGGTATCACATTTTTTAATTTTTTTTTTTTGCGACAAGTGAAAAGAGAAATGCATACAAATAGGGAAATGTGCCATAGAACTGAATGGCTTTTTAACAATTTACTTGAAGGTGGTTTCTATAATTACTGCTTATCGCAGCAAAACAATTTCTCCTTCTAGCTCGATGAGCTACTGTAAACAAGTATGGTACATGTGTTAAATGCAGGAGAACAGAACTGTGCACTGGCTGGGAGGCTGAGAGATGGAAAAAGCTCAGAGTTCCTCTCCCCCATCCTTCTCTGGAGATGTTAGATCCTACCCCACCTGCAGAACCTTTGCAGCTGTGTACAGCTCATCCCATTGTCTCAGTAAGCCTTGGGGCAGGTAAACTTTTCTCCCAGCCCTTCCAAGAAATCATTAAATTAAAAAAACCCCAAACATATAGAACATAACAATATAAAAATGTAGCACTTTGTCTCCACAACAATCCAGGATGGAATTCTGGGGTGACTGGCTAACACTGGTATCCTGCATATAATAAAAGACCTATTTTCCATACAAAAAGACTTGATTCTTTTAAGAGAAAAACATATGTTTGGAGATCTGAACCAAACAGCAAAGGGATA